CACACCGACGGAGAGCACCGATACCGCGGCTCGCTCTACCGCTCTCGCTCGCACGCCGTGACGTCACTCGATTCTCGGAATCCCGCGGCCACGAGAAGGTTCATTACGGTAAGGCATTCCCGGAAGGAAAATTCTCGGAAACGGTTCAAGAGTAGAACCTAAAATTTTACACAATTTAGTTTCGTTTATTTAGTTATCAACAAATGCTGCAAATTCGAAAAAAATCGGTCATTAAGATCGCATTTCTGTGCGTTTCGACGTCGAATGATTCGTTAATACCCGTTTTCAGGACGCTACAAATATATGCAATATACATATACCATAGAATTATTAGTAATAAAATAAAAATAAACCTACGAAGTGTTTCATACCGATTTCACTGAGCTTGTGCAGGTTCGGGGTCGGATTTGTCGGAATTTGTGTTCGCGTACAAAAAACTAATTACTTTTAATATGCTATTACGAACACGTATATCTACGTACTGTCCCATTAATTTAAGCAAACAATATACGAAAATCTATTATTTTTCATTTTGCATTATTATTTTAAATAACCAAATATTTGGCAAATAAATCATTTAGATATAATTTATTTCTGAAATAAGATTTTGGAATTTATTTGCAGACATCCTTATTTTCAAATAAACTTATCGGTTATTTTATTTGGAATAAATATTGGCTCTTTTTATTTGTAGTTTTCATTTGAAATCAAAAGAACCCAAGCCTGCTTTGTATTTTCGATTTTCTTTTCATTTTATCTCCTCGATTTATTAATATTAATTATCATTCACTTTTGAGAAAACAAGACTAACAATAACAATTCATTCATCACCAGTTATAAACACCTGTGTATGACAAAATGATCACTTAGTTCGTTTCAAAATTGACTAGAGACAAAAAAATGTTCCATAATGTCAATAATATTGAAAAAGCGCGGGAGAAGTGGGAATTTTTGTTAGAATTCATGTCGCCACATGAACATTTTCCATATACAAGCCATTTTCTGTCATTCGACATGTGAATGATGTTGTAAGACGATTTTGAGGTTATATGAGAGAATAAAAATATCTGTGCATACGGTACTTGTATGTGGGTATACAAATATATAATCCTCGGTTATATCTGTACTTAACGAGGGCATTGAAACATTAAATAGACATCAAATCGTTGTGGTAGTACAGGTAATGTATCTGTCAATCTTGAGAATACCAGTTTACGTGTTACGAATTAATGGAATGAATTATTTGTTTTATAGCTTTTGATGCATGCATTCATCCGAACATAAACACCGAGAAATTGCACCTGCTCCTTCCGTCCATTCCATTGTTCCACTCTACGAAAGAACCTTGATTCTATAAACATGTTATTCCTATAAAATTATTAATGAAAGTAGACCATGGCTTATAACCCAGGAATAATATGTTTTCGCCATTGTTGTTCAGAAAGCATTTTTTGTAAAAGTGTTCCAAAACTATGCCCAATTTGTCAGTCATGTATTATTAATTGTAATATAGAACCTTTCCTTGTTCCATACCCATACACAAATGCAACATATCACCCAGTTGCTATAGTTGTTAGGCCATCCCAGGGCAGTTTCATAAATGATTACACTGCTGCTAAAGATTTACATATAGGAGTAACAAATTCAAAAGGAATTGTCTTTGAGTTTGATAGACAAGGTTTGATCGTAAATGATCATTGCAGATGGACGGATTGTGTTGCATTTAAGATAGTTCCATCTTCTTGGGAGAATCATTGGGATGAAACATTAGAAAGAATGTTAAAAGATACTAAATGGAAGTCAAAAAATTATGATGAAGTTGATATGAATTGTTGTAACTTTGTTATGGAATTTGTAAATAATTTACAATATACGAATATAAAATTTGCAAGTAAAGAAGATATGTGTAATGAATTAATAATGTCAAAGATTCAAGATGCCATTAAATACAACTACGTACTTAAAAAGCTTGAAAAGAATGACTACTTTAAACTGTAAACATGACTGCTTTTTATTTGATTATTTTGTATTTATATTGCTTAAAATTTATATATCAAACTGACCAACATACTTTACATACATGTGTTTGTATATGTAATGACAATAAATTTGACAACTGTTTATGTATAAAAAATATAAGGAATACTTTATTTTCTATCCTAGGAGAATCAACAATACAATGATATTCGAAAGAATGATGTTTTCCTACTTGGGAAGAAGTTATAAAAAGAAGTTTCATCAGATCATAAGAAATGCACCATATACCACTGGTCAGTATAAATTCGATGTGATTGTGATTGGGGGTGGCCATGCAGGAACAGAAGCTTGTGCAGCTGCTGCAAGGATGGGTGCCAAGACCTTACTGGTTACCCACAAGAAAAGTACAGTAGGTATGAGTCTCGTTTATATGTATAATAAAATGAGACTTTCTGAAACCAGAACTCTGTACGGTGTTTTTACTAATAGGAGAAATGTCGTGCAATCCATCCTTTGGTGGAATTGGCAAGGGAAATCTCATGAAAGAAGTTGATGCTTTAGATGGGGTTTGTTGTCGTATATGTGATCTTTCTGGAATTCATTATCATGTATTAAATAAACGCAAAGGGCCAGCAGTTTGGGGATACAGAGCACAGATTGACCGTGGATTATATAAGAAACACCTACAAGAGGAACTATTCAATACACCTGGTTTACAAATATGCGAATCTTCGGTAGAAGATTTAATTGTACAGGGTGATTCACCAAGTTGTCATGGAATAATTCTTAGTATGTCTATCGCTATTATAATAAATACATACAGTTATCTTTCAAAGAAAGTAAAGTTTAGAAATAGTTTGTTGTAGAGGATGGAACAAAAATATACAGTGAAGCAGTTGTTATAACAACTGGTACTTTCCTGAAGGGTCAAATTAATATTGGTTTAGAGAAGAGACCTGCTGGAAGGCTTGGTGATGAACCCAGTATTGGTTTAGCCAATACATTAGAAAGGGTTGGATTTAAAATGGGAAGATTGAAAACTGGTATGTATGTCTTTAAAGTACCTTCTTACAGTACATTACATTTACAAAGCTATCCTGTTTTCCAGGTACTCCGCCGCGGATAGAGCAATCTACCATAGATTTTTCCAAGTGCCGAGTACAGTTACCAGATAAAGTATCAATGCCTTTCTCATTCCTTAATGAAACCGTATGGCTGCCTGTCGAAAAACAACTAAATTTAGGTAACGGGACCGCGGTACTGCCCGAGTATAGAAAGCAAAGTCTTAAAATTCTCAGCAAATGAGCATCAAATTTGGCTGGAACCGGAAGGACTTGACTCACCCGTAACGTACCCGTCTGGGTTGTCCTGTACACTTCCGGCAGAGAAACAGGAAGAACTAATTAAATGCATAGCAGGATTAGAAAATGCCAAAATGCGTGAGTTCCTAGTTCTTTAATCGCGTTCAAAGTTTTTCATCGTACGAATGAAGACTATGCTGTATTTTTTTTTTCCAGTGACACCTGGCTACGGAGTCGAATATGATTATATAGATCCCAGAGAATTGAGCGTCAGATTGGAAACCAAGAGGATACCAGGATTGTTTCTTGCTGGACAGATAAATGGCACCACTGGCTACGAAGAGGCAGCTGCACAGGGGATTGTGGCAGGTGTGAACGCTGCCGCGAAGGTCTGTAATGAACTGCACAGAAATCTTTGTTACTGTCATCGCAAATGACATTTCTCATTCACCGATCAGGTCCTCGAGAAGAAGCCATTAATAATCAGTCGAACAGAGGGCTACATAGGGGTTCTCATCGACGATCTCACGACTCAAGGCACCAATGAACCCTACAGGATGTTCACCAGTCGTGCAGAATTCCGGTTAAGTCTACGACCAGATAACGCTGATCGAAGACTTACCAGGAAGGGATATGAAACAGGCTGCGTGTCAGAAGAAAGAATGACGAAGACGGAGAAAGTATTGTCTAAACTGGACGATAATATGGAGTTGCTCCAAACTGAATTACGATCGAGTTCGGAATGGCGGAAATTGTTGAAAATTAAAGAGACGAGAAATATTTATGTCAAGTCCGCGCTTGACATGTTAAATATCGCCGACGAAGACGTGACCATCGATATGTTGATCAAGGCACTTCCGGATCGGTTTGGGCATTTGGCCGATGATCCGATTGTCTCGCGAAGATTGAAGGTATGTTAAAATTATTTTACGCAGCGTGCCTAGTCATCATCTTCTTCTTCGGTATACTGAACACCACAGAGTTGTCGTATCTTATTACGAGTAATATCGGTAAATCAGTATATATTCATCGTTGATTATTATGACCACTCAATTGATCTTCTAGATAGAGGCGATTTATGCTCGAGGGATTGCGGAACAACAACGAGAGGTCGATGAAATCCGCACGAACGAGCAGATGATGATACCTCCAGACATCAACTATCACTTGTAAGTATAATTATTCCGAATGGGAAGCTGTTAATATGAATTAATGCATTACACTTGATTTCGCGTATCGTTTCAGGCCTCGATTGAACTTGTCCAACGAAGAGAAACAAAAGCTATCGGAACTGCAACCGTGTACAGTAAGTATAGTAAAGAATAAATCTTCTATTTAATGTATCTACACTGTCTCGTCATTACTACGTTACAGATTGCCGCAGCCAGTCGAATCTCAGGAATAACTCCAGCAACCATTCTACGACTGATATATTATATAAAAACAAATCCATGCAGCATGAGCACCATGTAATCTCGTAATAATAAATCGGAAAAATAAATAATTTATGATCGAAACACTGTGTCGACTTTCGTGGATTTATTTATTATCATTCGCTTTTGCGATCGATGGTGGTCAAAGACTAGGCACACCTAAGAATATCGAACGAAACGTCGACCCAAATTCGGTGGATGTCACTCAACTATCAGCGTGTAAACGTTCGGCTTACGTGCAGAGTAAACAGAGAGGTTATTGCCCCGTAGTTTAGCTACCGGATGCATCGTTCTAGCTACCATCGGTCTTCCTTAAATAGAGACTCGTCTATTTAACAAGAACTATAGAACGCCAATGTTTGCCTCTCTCCTCTATTTCGAAATCGTCATGACGATGAAATTACTAATAACGTTCGTCCAGGTGGTCTGGTTTTGTCAGTGGTGTTTCATGCACCGCGAATTACCGTGGTCGGGACAGATCTAATTACAAATTGTAAAATTCGTTGGTCTAATAAGTGTCCGTCGAGTAATTGTCCCTAACTAACAATGCGGTCGAAGTTTCCGTTTCGCTCGGCTAATGGTCGACTCCGGGACAGGAGAGTTGCCTGATTGAATTAGAAAGGGTCTGTCCGGTTCCGAACTTGCCGGCTACCGAATCGATGATGCACACCCAAAGTAAACGTCGTTACAAGATTATTGGGCTAATTGATTTAAATTCCATGGGCGCGTGCACTAGCGTCGATCTTGACGTCACGAATCTTTAAATGGACCGATATCGATGCTCGAGGTGTCCTTCGTAGTTTAAACGTTGAAAATTTAACGTTCTCCGTTTTCTTTCGAAAGAAAATAAAAAAGAGAAAATTATAACGTTATTCCGGGAAACCTTCGCAGCGACAACTATAAATTTCTTCGTAAAAATTTCTTAGACGGAATCATTCCCTTTCCAGACATACATATATACCTTACCATCGTTCGTTTGTATTCAAGGTGCTCCTCGTTCGTTCTCGATTTATCGGCGGGTTGCAAATGAAAACAGCCGTTGAACGTACTAACAGTTATCGTTTATTACCATTAGTGCGATAGTAAATACTGTTACGAATACATTGTACAGGAATGGTGTACGATCGGCCGTGGTTACAGGGGTCGTTGTAATCGTAAATTCTCTACCCATAGTGAATCGACAGGTCCTCTACATGGTTGAATCGAGTCGAAGACGAGGTAGCCGCAAAAGCTCGTCCGCGTCGCGCTCGACCGGTTAATACTATTGTCTCCACTGTATATAGCCTCCGTGTGTCTCCGAAGAAACCGCGTGTGTGTCTGTATATATGTTCTGTTCCTTGTAACAGCTACGCGACGACTATCGAACAAATTCTCCGTTGCATCGGTCGCGAACCGTGCTCGGACGTGTGTAAAAAAACATACAAAAAGTGTCGAACGATTTTGGCCGACTCGGTGGCGCGCAATAACCTCAATCTGACCGCCGCGAACGAATCCAATGTCGAGATAAATTTTCAATTCGTCGTCGACGAACATTCGCAACGGAATCTTACCAGGGCGTGATTCTCCTCGAGGTATTTAAGAAAACACTTTCAGTCACAACGACGATTCCCTTCGAATTCTTGGTTCGACATACCAACAACAAGCGCGTTCCAACCAGGCTATCGTCGCGATGTTAAATTCAACATTGGATCTTCCGCGGCGCAAACGCGCATGCGCACGTAAATTACGCGAAGGCACGCGGCGGGGCTCCTCGATAATCGGCCACGCATTGCTCGACCGACCGCAGATTTTCTCTACGGGGAATACGATCGTCTCGTTTCTCCTTCTTCTTCGCGCGAGCGATTCACGCGACTCGCCTTAACCCTATACACGCCTCTTATATACTGGCAAGCTACCGTGTGTAACACGTTTACACGCGCCTGTATATACTACTCTTAAATCCTAGAGCTATCGATTCCGAATCGGGCACCCGAGACGCTCGCGGGTTACGCCGGCTATCTCGAATATCAATAGCGCTACACGCCTATATATAGTATTGTATATGTATGTATATATATATATATACGTTACGTTCATCTTTATTGTTCGTGCGCCAACAACCGACTACTTCGAATAAATTAGTTTAAGGCTACGGGTGTTCCTTAGGTTATCTTACTCTACTTGACTACCTATTCCGCCGAGTACGCCGAATGTTAGGTTTAATGTACAGCGAGATCCGTCCATCGAGCGGATTCCTGGAGGGCGTTCGTTTTTTCGGGGTTCGATTTTTGATTCTAAGATTGTGCATTTTTTATTTATCTTCAGGATTCTATCCTTTTTCCCCTATTGTACTTTGATCGATGCCAGATTCTTATCAGGCATCCTCGGATTTATTTCTATTTCGATTTACGATTTCGCTTTTGAAATCCGTTCTCCATTTCCGTAATGTCCATTTCACGGAATACAAAATGGCGGTGCGACACCTCCTTAAATCACGGGAACCCCGTCCGACACGGACGGACCACGAATAACTTAACTGGTATGGTGCGCCGTTAGAGCAGCGTTATCGCTCAATTATCGCGATCTAACGTCCAGCTATAATTACACGTGTAATACACAACGACGAGTGAATGTTATCTACAAGGATGCGATGGCGAGCGGTGACGATCGATGGGAGACGCGGCACAATGACAAGTCGCGGTCAGTGTCGTCGGCGCTTGCCCCTGAGATCCGTGAGAGATTAATTGATCCTCGGATCTACAAGACAGGATTGCTAATTTTGGTTCTTGTCGAGAGAAAAGTAAAACTTGCGCGCGACTGTCACTGTACGATCTCTCGCCGATTGTCCACCACAATTATACACAGTTGGGGGGGGGGGAGGATTTATAACGAAGTTACAGCTCGTTAATACATACTCTAATTACACGTTGCCGTTCGCACGCTCACATTGTCACGCAATTAATCACGATGGCTACAATCTGGCACGCATACCATGCACGCAACGTGGACGTGGAACGTCGTCTTTCTATCCTTTGAATTTTTGAAGTTTTCCCATACGAATCTCTCTCAATCTTTCACCTCGTTAACGAACCATCGACGACGTTCCACCTCCATTTCTCATTCATACCAGAAGAAAAGGAACTAATGAGGTTCGTTGAAACGAATCCGTTCCCGCTCGAGGATCGATTTTCCGTACCGATTGCCAAAAATGCATTCGTTTTCGCTCGTAGTAATTTCACGTATGGTATGAACAAAGCGTGGAGGGAAGGTATTCGAGCGGAAATCGGACGGTCTCCGCTACCATGAACGATTTGGTGCGCGGGGCTCAGTCTCTTTGATGCACCTGAAGAAACAATGACGATTACTCTACCTGCGGCTGTAGCTTACACGTCGACGAACATACACGCGCACGTGTGTGTGTTCTAACGAACAATGAAACTCGAGAGTGCGAGGTACTAACTCTAAGACGGTTTTCTTCTTTTATTGCGGCGCGTGCGATCGATGCCGATGTGACTTCCGACGTTCACGTTCGCCGTGAATCCGATCGCGAAAATCGATATCACGGTCGTGTTACTCCGTGTTGTTTTCGTTGGTCTTGTTACTCGTGTGTTTCGAATATCTTCTTCGTTAAAGGAGGATTCGCGCGACCGACAATTGCGAACCCTTTCATTCAATAAAATATTAGTATCATGTATTTTTTCATATCTGTGATTATATAATAGTTTCTGCTAGTCTTGTACAGAGGTATGGCACAAATTTTAAATAGGACATTATTGGTCCGTCGTCTCTTTCATGTGATGGAATTCAGGTGCTGAGTATTGCTTCTTTCAAATATTCCAAGAGAGTCTATTGATCAAGGGTAAGAAAAATTGGGTTTTACTATGCATAACAACATTGTAATGGGAATTATTATACATAACCGTGATAAAAGTAAAAAAGTTACCAAATGACGACTAATGAAAAATGTTATTAGACGGTCTCAAACGGTTAATATAGAAATATTTCTTTTGATAATTTCGAAGTAATTCGAGAATGAAAGGGTTAATCGTCGAGCCTACGGGACCGTGATTAATCTCTCCATCGGCACGCGACGAATCGAAACTCTGTCTTGGCGAATGTCATCGGAAGTCACGGCCCCGGATATCGCGGCGTAGAAATGGTAATCCACCAGCGGTCGCACGCGTTGCGAGAACCGACGGGGATTTCACCTTGTCCACCCCGTACTGGTTCCCCGATTGTATACAATTTCGGCACGTTGAACACCACATTCGGAAGGCATTTCAGAAGGCATTGAATTCCTAGAGTGTATTGTCACGAGTTTCTCGTCGATATTATGCCCTGACCTACCTACAGTGCGATTTCGCGGGAGCGTGACTCACGTAACAGCTTGAACGAAAAACAAAGAAAAACAAAAAGAAGAAGTAGAAAAGTCTCTCCTCGTGATCGTGTCATCGACGGATCAGCCTCGTACGCGTAAAATTTTCATTGGTTCCTCGTCGATCACGGTGTCCTCTGCGTAAAATGTAAAAAAAAAAAAAAAAAAAAAAAAAAAAAAAAAAACAAACAAAAAAGAGACAATTCTACTTCTAACGAAGTTGAATAAACGATGTTTTCGTTGTGCTTCCGCGAGGCTTATATCGACACACGAAATCTCCGTCGACTATGATCGCGACGACGCGACAGAAACTGTATTTTCATGAAGTCTTTATCTCGAAATCGATGTTGGCAGTGTGGATCAATCACTTTCCCTCGAACCATTAGTATATGTATATGTTTCTCTACCTTCGTTCCGAAAATGATAAACGTGTATTGTAGAGTACTGTAAAAAAGGTGAACACGTCAGAGATTTCGGTATAGAGACAACGATATGAATCGTATTTCGCCGGCGGGAAAAGCCCCGGGCGAAGGTATCGAAAATCAGGTTATCATTTAACGATAGAGATCGTCGCGGCCGATCGATGACGAGGCCCACTAGTGTAAAACTCCTAGCCAATATACCGGGGAGCCACCGATTGCGGCCGGCGACGATGTCGATGCAAATTTATGCTAAAGAAAATTGAAGAGCGATCGCTCGCGGCTTCGGTCGCGCCCGATGAATAATGAAATCGAGAGGGGAATGGGGGAGGGTGGTGGTGGGAGCAAAAGAAGAAACCGCGGGAATTACCCATCCTCGTTTCATCGTAAACGTGGGTCAAGGTCGTTCTATTTTCTCCTGCCCCCAAGAAGAATTTAATGGATCCCCTCCCACGGGTCGCTAAAAGCCGATTATATCCTCGAAATCGTTCTAGCGTTAAACGAGCCACGGCGGCACGGATGGGGCCGAGTCGTTGGGTAAAAACAGAAGAGGAAAAAAGACGAGATCGGTACTCGGGATCGTTGCTCGACGTTGATATCGTCGATCATCGTTATACCGACGCCTCGGGAGAAAAGAAAAAGTGTACAGACCCCCCACCCTCTTCGCCCAGTTCAATCAGGCACGACCTCGCCTGGCGCCGTTTATTAATAACATTCGAACAAAGTGGCGTCTCGTGGTGGTATCGGGGCACGCGTCGTTCTCGTTAGCTTCTCTCGTTTATAAATAAAACCGATCGACTCGGGCCGGTTGCGACGCGTGCTCATTCGGGTTAATACCGTTTCGGTGAAAGAAAAAAAAGAAAAACAAAAAAACAAATGCAATTGGGATGGGATCATCGACGGCCAATGATCCAGGAGTATTTTACAACGCACCAGTCGTCTGTCTTGGGATAGTAACGCGAATTACACATGGTTTCGAATGGAGAAGGACTCCTCTTCCCTGGAGAGAAGTCGCAACCACGACGGAGGGTAGGGAAGAGACCGGGTTGTCTCTATGAATATTTGTCGCTTCGCGTTGTTTTCTCCGGTCGCCATTGTGTGTCTACCGAGACAATGAACTATTCAAAGTGACAGGGCCTCGAAGCGGGTTCTGTTCCACCGTCGAGTCGTCTTCCTCGCGGCTGTTGGTCCACGGGGACGAGGAGAGGATGCCGGCCGTCTGCGAGTCTCTCGCCGCGCGACAACACATTCTTCGCGTGGACTTCAAGGTCGACGACCCCGGCGACGAAAGAAGGGAACATTCAACGGATTGGAGGCCTACATCGGGGACTGATCGGAGTGGCGGTGATGCCTGTCGTTAGTCGCGTCGCGGTAGGAGTAATCCGGTACGCTGGAGACTCCGCGGCCTTGAAATACGTTCAAGTTCACGGTCTCGAGGCCGTCGACCTTCTTAGCGCCATTCTACTCGGGCTGGAACGATCGCGCAGTCTCCCCGTTGAGGATCGAACTGGTAAAATCGTGTGTATTTGTTTTTGCTCGCGAGGGGCACGAACGACAGTCTTTAGAAACCGAGAAATACTGTTCCCTCGACATGTCGTCGCGATCCTAACACGTCTACGTGTTCTCTACGCTGTTACGGTAACAATGTTTATATCGTATACTGTGTACTTCCGATCGCCGAATTAAACGGGACCGAAGAAGACTTGTCTGGCTCGAAGAATGCCCCATCATATTGTGGGATCGGTAGATCGATGATCCCTTTCGAACAGATTTTTTCTTCGTGGATCTGTGACGTTCTGGATTCCGTTGATCTTTGTCGATCGATGCTGGAGAACAGAGTCGTTCCACGGAAGAGAAATAAAGAACTTTCTCGCGCGCGATCAGAAAGCTCTGTCCAGCTGGAATCGCGCTAGGAATATTGGATGATCCTCTTAGCAGATGGTTTCCAACGGGGCGGTCTTCGTGCTTGGATTCTGGGTGACGCTGTCGCCCATGCTGGGCATACCGTGGCTGGTTGTGCTCAGTCCGTTTCCCTGCCTTCCGGCGTTGGTCCTAGGGTTCCTGTTGCAGAGTCTCTTCAGCGCGGCTCGAACTTGCGGTTGGCAGCCAACCACCACGAAGATCAGCACACCCTGAAAAGCGTTTATCAGGTCCGTGAAGTACCAGATGTACTGCGGACCACCGACTACCCACGAGACAACGTCCGCGACCCAGGTCACGCCCATCACGACCACCAGCTTCATGCAGACACGGCCCAAGGCGGCTCTGAAATCAAAATAATATTCGTTGTACAGAGGCCTCGCGATTATGGTCTCTTCGTTGATACGCGATTATTGTCCAGGCGTCATTCTCACCACTGGAGGAGGGGGTATCTCGTTAAGAAAACTCTCGGATAATATTTTCCCTAAGGAAAAACTTGTTCCAAATCACCCATATTTTCCGGGGTGTCCAATATTTTTGTTACACCCTGTATACACTTGTTAAGATCCCTTCGTGTATCATTCAGAGGGCGACGCGACGGATATCCGGGGGGACAATTAAAAAGCTGGCCACCCTGATTCAATTAGCGCGAGCGTTCAATTAACGAGAAGCGTAAATCAGCCCGCGAACGTATCCGTTTGTTCGGCATGACACGGTGCCGCATCGCCAGCGTAATGTATGCATCGCATTGTGGCCGAAGTCAAAGCATTATTAATACGTTCCGGGCTGGAATACGTTCGCCAACAACCCGTTACGGTGTCGCATCGCGAAATTATGGTGTTACGAAGGTTACGGAAATCCCCCTCTCTCGCAGCACAACCGTACTGTCATTTCGATGTATGTCTGACAGCGGGTTATTGTCACCCCTCGCGGCAACCCCCTTCGTCTTCGGTCAAAATACAGTCTTCGGTTTCCGCGGACGGTTTTCAACGTCGATGCACCCTTTCACGTGGGACACTCTACATATAGCCGGCCACAAATGTACTTCCACGGACTAAAAAGAAAGGGATTTTTTTGTAAAAACTTCTGTAACAAACGTACTTGTTCGGGTATAACCGTCCAGTAGGACAGAGTGGATACTAATAGCACAATAATGGATTTATTTACTTATTGTTTTATGTATAATTTCTCGGTAGATCGATACTCGACTGTGTCAGATCGATTTTGCGAGTTACCGTTTGGTTAAAATTTTTAGGTCACCGTCTAATCCGGAGAACGACTCGTCTGACATTTTAGCGTCTGGGTTAGGAAAAAAAGCCACGAAAGCATGAGTGGAAAATTCAACGGAGATCCACGGTTCACGGATGTTAGATTATGAAAGTCAAATCAGCGAGGCGGACGTTCGGCGTAAAGTTTGATCGGGCCATTACGCGTCCGGGGATTGACCGGGCATAATGGAACACCTATGAAATGCTACAGGATGGATTTTCCGGTACGGACGCGGCAGGGATTGTTGTCGGTGAACCGTGGATTGTGTAACGCCGCTTGTTATTCCATTTGCAAAACGCTGCTCGAGGGGCCACAACCGTTGGCAACTTCGATTTCAACCGGAGCCTGGCATAAACCATCTTTTAACGACACGACCGACCGGTGAATTGCACGCTCGAACAAAAACACAGGCGATTATATTACTCACAGTTCGGTCGTATTGTTACGATATTAACGCGCATCGCTCGATGTAAAATCGCAATCAAACAGAGGCGAAGGGTGGAGGGAGGTTGGCGCTGGGTCGAGCGAGAACTAATGGAAATATTGCCGTTATTTAAGTATGAATGATATTGCTTGTTTTATTATTGATCCCGGTTTTTATACGAGCGAATCCCGGTCGTTGGTTATTATTCGAAATGTCACAATGAAAATCACATTGGTTCTCACTGATCGTTGAAAAATTTACAGAAGCAATCACTGTAGTGCATTGGACAGTAATCGCGAATCGAAAGTACGTGGAGGGGAAAGCGTGGAAGCCGAGGTGATGATATGCGCGCGGCAAACAAATTAGACGCTGGAACGCTGGCTATGAAAATAGAAGGTGGAACCCTCCCCCAGGTGGGGACGAGGAAGCGCGTGGTAAGCATGATAACAGTGTCGTTTGGAACGCGATACAACGGTCGATCGCTTGTGTGAACATCTGGAAGAAAGGGTCGAGCATTTGTGAGCAGTGAGATGAAATGTAAGAGATCAATTAGAGATCAAAAGCAATGCGGGATCGACTTTAACGTTGCAACGTTTCTTTAATAAAGGATCGCAAATCAATGAGAACTCTATGAAAAATTTGGATTTCTTTCATTGGAATTATTACTATTGTCTACGTGCACGTCGATGGTTATTCGTCTCACGAATGGAACTAACACGACGCACGTTGTTTATCTAAAAAAATTGGAATATGGCACGTCCACCCTTTTTTTTTTTACTTTGAAGTTTATCATTCTATACACACGTAGGATACTTAGATACAATACAATGAACTTTTAAATGCAATTTAACTATTATTATTTAACTAATATCCATTTAGTTTATTCATTTTAATAGATTTAATAGTCATTCTAATCATAATTTTAGGATTAAACCTATTAATAAAACGATTTATCGTACACACCTGTTCAAGGTTTGTATAGAAATAACTTCTTGATACGCGAGACTTTAAACATTCGCCTGATATCATGTTATGGCTCGTTTCGAATTATTGTGGACGGTTTAGTCACGCCCATCGGCGAATCAATTTCCAGCACAAGTGGCCACAACCTGCACAAAAGGGTTACCGATTTTTCCTTCTGGAAAATCATCGCTAAGAGGGAAACCCTGCAAGATGATTTCGTCATCAGGAAGGCAACGAACATGGAAACAGGGCGAGGTCGAAAAGAAATCATCCGCAGGGTAGACAGTCGCGCGAACACGAGCGATATTTTTATTCGACGCTTCAAATTAATGCCACCCTGCGTCGCCCGTTCGGATAGAAGAAAGAATATCGCGGATCCGGCGACGAGTTAATTGACGTAACGAGACAGAAGGGTGGATATGGATTGTTATCGTCTGCCGAGACTGGAAATATCGACAGTATTAACGACAGAGGGATAAAAAAAAAAAGATACGGTAGTAACGGATCGGGAAACGGCTTCGTGGCTATATACACGATATTATATCGATATAATATTATATGTATATGCGCGTTCGATCGCTCGTTACTCTCACGACACAATGCGACAGACGTTTATTCAACGGGGATCGTTTTGTCTAGACGCCATCAAAAAACGTATAAGCCTGATAATCAGTCGAAATCGACAGAAAAACGTACGTGAAAGTTAACTGCTGTTGCCCTCTCGTAGAGACACACGAGGAGAATATATTACTTCAACGTACGATAACGGTTAAGTGCCAACTCTTCGTAGATTATCGTACGGCATCGATTTTCTTCGTGTTCCATTTGTAAACCGTTCGGAACCAGAAGATACGAATCGAGGAACAGACAGGTAAATACGAGTCGGGGAAAGAAGAAAAAAAATCGCGGAAGGGAACTTCTATAAGACATTTGTAACAGTCGAGAACGGATTAGGGATCATGGATTGAAAATAATCCACGGTGGTCCAACGTAACGTTAAAATAATACCAGCAGTTAGTAACCGCGGATGGTCGTCGCGTGATCACTATTTTTTCTTTTTTTTTTTTTTCACCAACCCCTCCGCGACTTCCATCTGGAATCCCGCGAAGCCTCGGGAAAACACGGGTCTCCACTTTACGATCTCGGAAGCCTCGGGGAGGGGAAGCAGAAACGGCTGGGCGGTTCTAGACGGGAACCGTGGCGTCTCGCGGGACCAGCATCATCATCCCAGCTGACGGTTATAGCGTGTGTTTTATCACGTTCAACCGGGCACAACCTTGTCGACTCTTCTGGTACGGGGCGTAATTCAAAAGAGGCCCCTTTGAACGGATCCTTTTTATTCGCGGAGCGTTTATTTTCGGGGCGCGATGCCTGAGACTTTTAAACCGCGAACGAGCTGGAAGAGATTCGTGAATGAATCGAGATGAATTTCTGTGATCTTTGGGAATTCCGAGCGTTTAATTGTTACCGTTGTTATCGTCGAACGGTGAGGTGATTCTCGAAATAATGGCGGGTCCCATGGGAAATGGGGAACTTTAGAATGTCTCCTATCTTTCGAGTACTATCTTCGAAGTTTTTTTTCAATGCAAAAAGCAATCTTTTGTTTGGTTGAAAATTTTAGAAACACCCTGTGTACGGAATGGTGTGTTAGAAGGCGGGTAAATATTTTTTTAACGTAGATCCACGGATCAGCCTTGACAGAGATCGAAAGGAATTTCTATTTTTGCGGTCTGGTATTTATTTACGCTCACCTGAAAAAGATACTATACTCTCGTTTTCGATTGCAGCGAGGTTCTCGACGGGCCGCGATATCTCACGCGTGTTTTGAAAGACAGGAGTCCTTATATTGTTTAACGTTCGTTCGTTCTGAGTCAGCTTTAGATAAGTGGACAAGAGTTGTGTGCTGTTGAGAAACGTAGTCGAGAAAAGAGTAGCTCTAAAAGACGTCCGAATAACAGGCAGGGTTGGAAAGACTCTTGAAACGTTGAAGGTATTAAATCGTTTCTATCTTTTGGTACCATGGGTCACTACTAGTTTTAAAAATATAAAAAATCACTCGTATAAAAAGCACACGTATAACATCTGCACTCACTGAAGCTTTGTCAAGAATTGATTCTTCATATGGAATGGCGATGTTATTCAAGAAAATCTTACTTTGTCTATTATCGCCTTAATTGAAACGTACTACATTACCTTCTTTTAAAAACAGATATTTTCTAGCAACGAAAACGAATGAACGGATACTATTTTATGTTACTAAACGCTAGACTCTAAGGCTTTTAAAATCATGACGCTTATGAAAAAACATTCGACCAGAACCGAATCTCGCGTTCAAGTACGTTTGAAGATCACATCGTGTACCTACGTGTTAATTCGTGCCGAAAGGAACGTTGTATATTTTTCTGTCTTTAAATAAAAGAGCGAACTACAGTATCGGTACGCACAATAATCGAAACTCCGAAACATAAATGATCGGTCAAAGAATTCCCTGGTTTTCACTCTCAACGGTAGAAATATTCGCGAAATGCCTCTGCCTCTCTCCCGATCTATTCGTCGAATCGAATACGGTACAGGTACGTTGATCATAATTTTTTCATTAGTCCTCCCGTGGCATTCGTTGCACGCGTTTACGAGGGCGAATATTCGTATCAGCGTAACGGGGACCAGATGAAAGCAACGGGCTCCTCCGAAATTACGGATAAGGGAGGGAAGAGAGAGAGAGAGAGAGAGAGAGAGAGAGAGAGAGAAAAAAAAACAAAAAGCAAAATGAGGGAAACGAAAGCTCGCGCGAGAGAGAATCTGTATCCGCCATTATGGAGCGTATGGAAACGAGAATCGAGAGACAGGGGAAAAAAGGTGCATATACGCCGCGTAGGGCCTAGGCCGAAAGAGAATCGCAAATTGAGATCGTCAATATCAATTTCCGGGCGGGACGAGGGAGTAAAGGTGGCGGCACGAAAGGGTAGGAGACTCCCGGTGAACGAATGGAAAATAACGATTCGATGCCTGATATCTGTCGGCCGAGGCCGTGATAAAATAAATTCTCCTTTGAGCACACCGCCGCCGACGCCGCTCTATAAAAAGGCCCGCGGCGCGTTCGCATAAATATCCGAAAAGAAGAAGAAAAAAAAATGTGATTCGTCAAACGGGCGTTCGTTCGTGGCAACTCGACCGGGACCGCGAGCCGTGAACGGAAGATAATATTTTTTTGCGTATCGATCTGGAAATTCTCGCCGAGAATTCCTGCGGTTCATGGGTGCACAGCGCCGTCAATGCGTTTCCGTTGTTTTAAACCGTTCCGCAAGAGGAACGCGACCCAGTGTCTATCTACAGGGTGTTTCATTTAACTGGAAACAGTGGAATATCTCACGAAGGATTAAAGTTATCAAAAGAATGTTCGTACAGAAGTTGTTTGGTACAAAGGGGGACATTACGTGGTATAAATAATTTTTCTGTAAGTGTAGTAGTGAGGGAGATATCAAAGTTAAGTTAATTTTTTTAAATGAAACCCTGTATTTTTTTATTCATATTATGATAGCGTTTGTTGAGACGAATACAATGAACTGCCACATGATATCTTTGGATTAACTTTAATCCTTCGTGAGATATTCCACCGTTTCCAGTTAAACGAAACACCCTGTATGCTTGTTTATGAAAGTCTCGGACCAGGATTTCGAAAATTGCACGGTGACTCGCCAGGTTAAGGTAATTGAGGGTCGTAGATATACAGCGTGTTGAAAAAAAGGGTGTTTAGGTACTTATAGTGATCACCGAGTGGAATGAAAAATGTCTAAAATCAATCCTTTCGATGTAAAATCTACTACATTTACGAGCGTCCGATGTTAATCGATCCAAATCGTGTTTAGAAAAAATATTTTAACGTTAGTGTAGAAGTACATTGATTCAAGGTTGTATGATAACAGGTGGTATGAGGTACGGAAGGGGTATTTAAAAATATACATCGATCTTAGTTTCTTGTTGCTTCTCTACAATTCTCAATCCTGAAATCATCCTTGATTTCGCTTTGCACGGGTACACACACGTACACCGTCTGCAGCCGTGTCGTTTCTGTAGCTCGTTTCTACCCTCTTCCGCTGAAATAAACGAGCTTCTTCAAGTTCGCCGCAACGCGGTCTAAGGTTTCCAGGTTCACCCGTGCCGGTAATCGTTTCTTCCATACTTCCCCCGCCGCCCGCGATTTCGTGGAAACGAGCCACGCGATTATCTCGCCGCGAGCGTATAATGGATCTTTCTGGAAACCTTTTTTCGCGATGCTTTCGATTATCCGGTAATCCTTCTAAATAATTTCAGGCTTGGTATATCTGATCTCGGTTCTGAAACAACGAAACGTCCCTCAAGGCTGGCACAATAGTTGCACCGTCGTTTAAGGCTTAGCACGATCTAGATCTCTCAGGTAGGCCCTAAGTGTGCCCCACGTTTAAACCTAAAGATAACCGAACTTAAATCGTTGGCTGCATCGAAGGCCTTAACGGAAATTCTCGTAAACGATGAAAACGGAAACGAGATTTTCCACGGAGCAATTTTGCGAGTCGACTGATTGTTCGTCGACTCTTTTAACCCCGCGGCTGTTGTTGTAAAAAAGAGCCCGGGGGCACTGTTAAACGTTCGCGGGAAGAAAAAAACTGTCGTAAATATTTACACGAAACAATGGCCGCGCCCCGGATTGTTGAATACAGTTGCGCACGCGGCGAGATGCAGAGCACGCGAGGCGGAGGAAACTGTACTTTCAGGTAAATATTTTGTCTCTCTCGCGGACGGAACTGGCGCGCACACGGCATCCGTTTTGTGGTGCACGACTGGCGAATCTTGGGGAGCAGACACACGACGTGCCACGGTGAAACTTAATTTTGGCGTATGCTGGAGACAGCTCTAGCTTTTCGTTCTTTCTTTCGAGTCCCCCCATTGAGTCGGAGAGGTTCGCTTACCTTTCCGTGGTGCTCTTCACGAATTCACCTTTCCACAGGCCGCACGTCAGCTCGCGGGCGGTCGCCGCGAAGAAGAGAAGATTCACCGCGAGTAGAACGCCGATCGGTCCGTAGAAGTACGCCAGTATCTCCACGTCACCTGGAACAGGAAGAGAAATTCTTATTTTTCATGTTCAAAATGTACGAAGTGATCTGTAAATGATAGATCTTTTACGATAAATTAATATTCACAAAGCAAGTTAGGACCCCCGTTTTTTTTTTCGAAATTTCTGTGTGAATTTTCTTTCTCTTTGATTTAAATTAATATAAACAATTACTAAATTATATTAATGATCGGAGGCTGTTGGGTCGGATGAAGTTTTTGGAGAACTCGGGTCAAAATCACCCTGTCATCGTCGTTCGACGATAAATCGCGGACGTTGTTAATGGAGAGAAGAAACTCGAACGGGAAAAAAGTCGCGGACCTGGAAACGCTCTGAAATATCTGCGTGTTCGCCGTTCAATAATAAACCTCGAGATCGCTTGAATGGCCAGTTTATCTTTACGACGTTTAATTCAAGCCGGTTGCGCGTTCGACTCATCGAGTCCGCTGGTCGATGATCGGAGGAGGAACGCGGGAAAACAGAGGACTAGGCTGTTTTGCCGCGCGCCTGGTAACCGGAAGTCGAAGCCGACGCGATCATTACTTAACGATTAAACTGTTACAAAATGGTCTGGGTGCTGCTGTTGGGTGAACGACTTCGGTTGGCGTGGCTGGTCGCGACGGCGCTTTTGCTTATTATTGTTATACGTCGAACGGGGGTTGCTTGTTATCGCGTGCGACGAGGAGAGAGAGGTGCTTCTAACTGGTCGACGAAGTTCAAGAGATCCGAGATCCCATAGCAAACCCCGTGCAGGCACGCTTCGTATTCACTTTCTACTTTCTTTCTGTTCCACTCGCGGCGATTATTACGAACGACACAATTTTGACATTTCTCTCGTACCTGAAGGTGCGTATCCATTTGTTGCGTATCGATTTGTTGCGTATCATCGTATCGTATCACCATAGGGTCATTCCACGCGAAATCGGACACTTTTTAGAGCACCATTTCGGACAAATTTTCAAATATTGTCCATATGAAAATTAATTAAAATTAACAACATATCCAAGTGTCAACGAAAATTCACAATGGTACTCCAAAAAGAGTCTGATTTCGCGTGGTATGCCCGAACCGAGAATGACTGTTAGGTGGCACGCGTTCGCACGTAGAAACGCAAGGACAAATTCCATCGAAAATAAAAAAGCAATCGTTCGGCGAGTCGGGGTCGAAAGAGAGATCGAGGAGAGAGGAGTTTCGACGTGAAATTCCCAGTTTCCTGTACGGGGAAACGAACTCCGCAGAGGAGTTCCGGGGGCGCCACGGGAATCAGAAATAACGACAGGCAAAAGCAAGGCTCGATAATCGATCACAGACAAATAAATCTGGCGACGGCTGACGACGATCGTTCCTCCTACCCTGATTCTCACGAAGAACCGTCCCGGAACTCCTACTGTACAGGCGCGACCGATAAATCGTTTCATTCCGCTCGGTTGCCCCGTTGATTTTCGCTTCTCTATTCCGTGGAACACACGCGCAAGTCGAAGACTGAATCGAATTCCTTCTGGTCCCCAAATTATACCTAATTGGTGATTACTGTAAACTGCCTCGTCGCATATTCCGTTCGCGAGCGGTGGTCTCGAAGCGATCTCGAAATACAAAGTGTCGGGTCGTGTTGGTTCATAAATATCGTACGATCGTTTCGGTTGACGGCCGTCCGCAAATTGGTGCTCCATTTACACGTGTAATTGGGACGTTACCCGGGTTGCAAAATGCCCCTGAAAATAGACGACTTCCACGAACGTAAATAAGATCGTTCTCCTCTCTCTGTTGGCCTCTTGTCTCGCGGGACGACCGAGACATATGTTTGTACATACATATCGAGGAGAACAAAGGATTTCTCTGAGGATTCGGGGCGTCGATGGTTCTGATTCTCGCTGGTACACGAATAATAATAATAAAAAAAACAGAACCGTCGAACAGTTTCGTTTAACAGCACACAGAAAAGTGATCTCGTTTCCGGGGCAAAGCACGACCACAAGGACAGCCACGTACCGAAATAAAAAAGGTGGGCCCGACAAAATTTCGTGAAAGCCACGAATAGATCGATAATTCACGCCTCGGAGGAATAAATCGTTCCGGGGGCAGCAGCGTGGACTCGCTGACAGGGAATAGTTTGTTTTGGTGGCGGGCCGTAGAGACATCGGGGGAGAAGACGGCGAAAGGAAACGCGTGTCGTGCACGTTGCGTGATCGTTTCTTCCCGCGGTATACAATACGGCGTTACGTCGTCCGTTTATTTCCGACGATTCTGGAATCGAGTGGAGATTCTACCGTGGTCACGTTTCCACACCCAGGAACTATGACATAGAAATGATTTCGTTAAAAGAAATCCGGGCAAGGGGGTGGGGGTATGGAAGAATCGCGAGCGGCGCATTTTAATTACACCCACCCCGATATTTTCAATATTCCACCAGTTTCGGGGTCGTTAATTGGATCCATTTGTTTCCCTTTTCAAGATTCCATTACGACCAGTTCGGGGGTTGTCGGATATTTCTCGCGGTTACGGGCTATCCCGGACCCACGGCCGCGTCATTATTCCCTGCAATTTCCATTGCTTCGTTACGTTGGTCCTTCCCCCCCTCCAACCCGTTCGGCCTCGTTATCCGGAACGATTTCCGAAATCTCGTTGCATCGAAAGCCAATTAGTTCCGTACAGCCGATTTTCCATCGAACCCACGTGTATCCGAGTCCCTCTGCTCGACCAGCGACAGAACCCTTCGAACGATCGGCGTGCACTTCAAACTACTTCAAAATGTTTTCAATGAATTCGCAGAGTAATCTCGAAGTTTCAAGTTGTCTTCTCGAGGATGTATCGAAGCGCTTTGCGAAAAGCGTTTCGAAGATGTCGCAACAATTTATCGTCCATTTCACCCCACGAGCATCGTTCCGATTCTTCTCCAACCGGCACAAAGAGTCGCGTTCGGGAAAAAAATCCGAGTCTGTACAAATGGGGGTTTCATCGTATGTGACACGTCTTCACTGAGAGAGCTATATCTCGCCTATTTCAACCCCCTAATCGTTACCTGCACAGTCGGCCAAGATCGAAGAATTAGCTATTCACAACTGTTTTAACATTATTTTAAGACTTAAGGACAATAATATGTGTTGGAGCGTTGGAAAAATGAGAGGGGACCACGCGGGATTCGAACTCATGACCCCTGGCGCCGAAAGCAGAGACTTTACCCACTGCTCCACGGAACCCTTCTATTTTCCAAAGATGTTATTTGCTCCTTTGTTGGGTATGGAGTTCCCGATCCCACATATATAGGTCCTTGAATTTGTCTTGACGTCAGGTATAATATTATTAAGTAAAATATATATAGTGACCATAAAAAAATCAAGATGACCTTATTTTCTATTAAAAAAAAAATTTGGTTTCAAATTTTTTATATCGGAGTTTGTAAAAAAGGAATGTTATTGTCAGAGCATCGAACATGCCTGAAAAATCGTGATGACATGTGGATAATGAATTATAATTGAAAACTAGCTGTTCAGGCTTTTCAAATAAATACAGCTACGTCCCGAATATTTCAGGAAATGCACGGGTCTAACAACAACCATTAATTGCCGTCGATTCCCATTCGGATCACCTTTCTTCTAAGCGCAACCAGCGCCAAATCGCGGCACGGAATTCTCTTCCCGTACATCACGCGAGTATTCTTCCCTCTTCTATGATTCCTCCTCGTGTTCTTCCAATGAAATTGCGTCGAATCACGGCACCGGTGTACATTTATCGAATCGATCGCGCGATGCGTGTCCGGGATGTTCCCCCGTGGAAGATCGCGAAATCCACGGTATTCGCGGAACACCTATGAATATGAATACGTTCGTTCCGTCTAATATTAGGTGGCCAGTTTTCGTGAATACCCCTCAGAGACCAAGCAATTCGTTAAAGTACGCGCAGATGGATACCTAGTTCCCGACGAAATTGATACGTTGTTCAGGCCTCGATTCCTCCCCAGCCGAGTGTTTTTACGCGTGTGTGTACACCACGATGTTTGGATCGAGGGTCGTAGGAAAACGGACTTTTTCTCGATAGTAATAATCCAACAGGCGCAATTACCAGATCGATAAATAATTGAACGTACAGGGGTTACACGATGGTATACTCGCGTGGTATAAAACATACCTTTTTTTCCAGCCTGTTAAACTCGACGAGTGGCGAGGCACGCGTAGTTGAATAGGGAAACTTTCGATTCGAAGAAACACTATTTTCCCCGCTGGTCGGACGATCGATCCCCGTCGACGATAAAACGTAACGTTCCTCGATCCACGAGGTTAAACGGTCTTTTATTCGCGCTTTTATCCGAACACGTTTCCCGATCGTGCGTCCTTTCAGGCCCGATGTTTTCGATCGAATGAACGCCTGCGGTCGGCGAGCACGTGTTGCCCTCGAATAAAAAATAAACATTTTTTCCCTCCCCTTTTTTCTTTCAGTTTCTGCACGGGGACTGGACAGGTGTTTAACTCTCGGCTATTTTTTTTTTTTTTTGTTCGTTGTTCACCGTGAAAAACGGCTCTATTAGCGTATCGGGTGGTTAGTAATCGGGCAGTTTGTCATGCGGGAACGGTAATAAAATTTTAGCGGTCGCAGAATCGGCTATGTTTCGCGAGGCTACACGTGAATTTTATGGTAAATAAAGAACCATGCCCCGGACGCGATCCCACCCACTCGATTCTCACCCCAAACTCTCGTCTCTGCTAACACCGGGACCGTTCCTCCCAACCCCGTGCAACCGTCGCGTGCAATCTGCCAGAAGCACGCTTCCACGAGGGTCCCTGCAGCAGCCACTTATCGGCGAGAGGGTCGTGGCTGCGCGTCCGCAAACAAACTCATAAATAAAATCCCTTTACGCCCCGCGACTTTCATGGATGCCGATGCAACCGCTCGACCCATCCTCTAGTTATCGAGCCACAAGACTGACCCAGTTTGTCGCGTTGATTCGGACACTAGGAGCAGGAGGGTGAACCTTTGGATGATTTTGGTAACTGTGCTGTTC